CGAAAAGTTTTATTGTGTGCCCCACACAACTAAATCAGTTGTGTGAGGCCTCTTTTTGTCTCACAAATTTGTGGACTCAAATCTACACTTTTGGGTCCACAAAATTATGAGTCAAAAAAGAGAGCTCATACAACTAGCATTAGTTGTTACTTGTACGAGGCACAAAATAATAAGTTTCACATTTTTACCTTCTTGTACAAATCCCTTTTATCTTCGTGTTGTCAATTTCTCTTTGCATTCATCTTATCCAAATTCGGTGGTACATATCATTAAATTTCTGAGATTTTTCCCTTCCGATGGATTTCCCATTAAATGTTAGATAGTGAGTTAAAGTGTGGGATTAAGTATGGATTTCACTATGCTAGTTTCTACATCCAGGAATGTCATAGCTGGAGAACCCTGGTACTCGCTATGTTAACTAAATACCTATAAAATAGTAGAAAAGGCAGAAATCTGAACCAATGTGCTTTGCCAAAGAGGAGTTCCGGTGAAGAAACAACAATCTCCTATAAGAACTCTCAATAACTCAAAACCTCCAAGAGTATTATGATTAAAGGCAAATTGCCAGCAGTAGTAAATTGGAGTATTTAAAACTAAATGCAGAGAGGGCAGATATCAAGATGAAACAAGGCACTTTAAAAGGACCAAGTCAAAATTGGCAGCCAAAAAAAAAGGGTAATTATTAAATCCTGGAGAAAAAAAGACAAGCTTTACATACATGATTAAAGTTATAACCCTCTATCCTCCATGCTTCATCTCCTTCGTAGAAGAGAACAACACATTATCCAGCACATTTCTTTTATTTTTTTTGCAGAAAAAGAACAAACATGTGTGTATAAGCAATGGCGCAGACAAGATCTAATATAACATATGGCTGATTTATGTATTATAGACTATTAGACTGCATGCATAAGGGAAATGTATCTGAAGCTATAGTCAGATGAAGAAGTTCCCAGCACTATATAGGGAATGCAAAACAAGGGGGGAAAAAATATTCCCAGCTCCAAAACTATCTCTTGAAAATTAATTCTAAATTGCTTTCCATGTAAGGGGATTCTTTGGGGGGTGGGGGGTGGGGGGTGTAGGGGTAGGTAGCCAAGAATGCGCACAATTAGAAAGAAAAAGAAATATTAAGCCTCAAGACTGCAAGACACATATCACTCTTCAATGCACTGGTGACATAAAATAGGCCGAAGTCTCCAACTGGAGTTAAAAAGCAGAACTATCTAAATATTGTTAACCAATCTGTATTATTATAATAAAAAACGAAATAGTAAACTTTCTGAAACAGAAACAGAAACAAAAAATTAGCAGCAACAAAATATTGAAATAATTTCGGAATAAATCGAGCCCACTAAATACACAGTGATTTAACTCAAAGCATATTTATAGCCTTTCTGGCAACAGATATTACCCGAAGCCGAGCGACAACGAGGACGCGGGGCTTTTCTTCTTCTTAACTCTTTAAGAGCTAGAAGAAGAGCAATTGTATATATACCCATCAAAAATCTTTTCTTTCTCCAATATGGGACAATGTACCTTTGCCAAGGAGGAAAACTCAAATATTTTATTTTCTCTCCATTTCCCATTCACCCTTTATTTTAAGCTACCCAAGCTTAAACCCAACAAACATGCATGTCACCATCTAACAGGAAAACTAACTCTTCCACCAACGATCTTTCAATGCAGAAGCATTCTCGCTCTTCAGAAGGCTTTCTCTATTATAAATTTAAATGCGCACCAAAACTAGCAAGAGAGCCAATCATGTATCCAAAAAAGGACAAAGGAACAAAATAGCCTGCCAAAAGGTTATAAACAGCATTAATATAATTTAACACATTGTGCTTACTCTGTTTGAACTTCGAAATCATGTACCAAAATTAAACCTATGTGTCGGTATTTCAGTAAAGCATATGAAAACTTATGTGGGACAATATTTTTTCGTTATAGAATTAGCTAAACATAATCACATTCATCATTGTTTAAGAACTTACACTTTCCCTTTTTAATTGTTATTATAACTCACGATACATTTGTAATAACATTTATATCATTTTTTAAAAAATATTATTCATGACACGAGATACACGTGCATCGCGCATACACCTAAGACTAGTTACATAAAAATATAAGAAAACTGATAGAAGATCCCAGCAAGCACCCAGGGAGAAAAAAAGATTAATGGGTGATATGGTGTTGAGGTTGAATTAAAGGCGTGTCTGAAGCTAGAGGCGCATGTTTGATTCCTACTTGACTTGTGACTAGAAATCTTTTTTGATTTTTCTCTGTCAGGGGCGGCTCAAGCTCATATGGGGCCTAAGGCCAAAGTTTAATATGGGGCATAAGGCCAAAGTTTGTATCTTCGTCAGATTTCTCATAAACCTCTTCTTCAATTTGGATTTTGTTATGATCATTTGACTCAAAGTTAGTGACTTGTTCATCTACAGAATATTCTCCTACATTTTGCGATTTAATTTTTTCATTATTTGTCAAAAAATTCTCAAGAGTTCCTTTTTGAGATTTTATTAAATTTTCAACTTTTCTTTTCTTTTGGATTTTTGAATATCCGGATGCATATTTTCTTGTAGACATGTTTATATTCTAAAAAAAACTAAACAATATGTACATAGTAAATTTAATAAAATAATAAATAACAAATAAAAATAATACTAGAAAGTTAGAATGATATTACCCGACTAACTGATTCAAGAAGTTTGAAGACTTTGATTCCAAAATATCTAGTTGTTGGCTTGTTGGAGTCTTGGAGAAAGAAAGAAATCTCATAGAAAGAAGATGAGCATGAATAAAAAGGAAGGAAGAAGGTATGTCACTATGTCTCATTCTGCTATACGAAATATGAATAATGAAATGAAATTGAAATGTTGGATTGGGTCTTGGAATTATTTGGGAAGAAGAGCAAAAAGTAGAGTTGTCAAATCAAATCCAAGTGACAACTATTTTTTTAGTACTATTTTAAGCTTTACTTTATTAATATATTAAAAGTTTTTCTTTTTTATATATGAAAGGTAAAAAAGTACTATATATATTATTTATTGTTTAAAAAAGAAAAACCTATAAAATATATAGTATTCCTAAAAATTGGGGCCTCCATTTGGGGCCTAAGGCACTTGCCTTACCCCATACACCTATAGAGCTGGCCCTGTCTGTTGCGTTCGAATAATTGTACAATTATACTATGTAATTGATAGCAACTTTATGTTAAAGGAAGTGAGCACCCACTACCTTAAAATTTTGGATCCGCGGTCGGATAGAAGAAGAGTGCAGACACATTATGAAGTTGGTTCCTGGTGAATTTGAAAGTCATTATGGCCTAAAGAAAATAACTTTAGATAAAAAATTAAATAAATAAATAAATGAAGGGCTTGTGGCTTTTGTGTGAGTGGCAACTTCTTGGTGTATGAGTGTGTGTATATATATATATATATATATGCATGCTTAACCTTAGTGTTGAAAGAACACTGCACCCAATTTAATTTACTAATAAGAAATATCTCCAATATATCTATTCAAGCAATTAGTGTTTTCCTATACAGCAATCCAACCTCACAAGCTCCTTTTCCAAAGGTCAAAAAGCCATCTGAATTCCCTAGACTTCAAAATATAGCCATTTAGAAGTAAAACACGCACACACAATACACAAAATATAAAAGAAGAAAAGAGAAAAGCAGTAATCCAGTGATCCTTATGACTTTCAATTTTAAAGGCATTCTGTATACATGAGACATTTGCTAGAAGTTTTAGGGTGTGTTTGGTATGAATGGAAAATATTTTTCGGAAAATGTTTTCCAATTTTTCTATGTTTGGTTGGCTTAAATATTTTGGAAAACATTTTCTTTACGAACTCTTGGAGGAAAATGTTTTCCTTATCAAGAGAAGGGAAAACATTTTCCAAACTCCTTCTCAACCTTCCCTATCCTCACCAACCCACCCCACCCCCTCTCTCCAAAAAAGTTTTTTTTTTTTTTTTTTCAAATTTCAGTTTTTCCGTTACCACCCACCCCCTCTCGCAAAAAAATATTATTATTTTTATTGCAATTTCTAATTTCTGTATTTTCGTTTTTCTGCACCATCCACCCCCAACGAAAAATATTTTCCACGGAAAATATTTTCCGTTATACCAAACACACCCTTAGGGTAAGTATGTGACCATGTGAGAATATAAGCAAACTGGTTTAAATCCCAGCTGCAAGGGCGAAGCTATATGTTTTGAAGGGTGTCCTTCGTCGGAAAATTACACTGTATACTAGGTAAAATATTAGATTTTAGAGGTATTTATCATATATTGACCACTCTTTGTCGGAGAATTTTTTTCACTTCTTTCAATTTTGAACACCCTTGAGTAAATTTCTGGCTTCGCCACTGCCCAGCAGTACAAATTAGCATGCAATATATGCCTAGGCTCTGTAGAATACTGCATGACAATAATGTGTTTTCTTAAGCAAGACTTTTTTGATGTCGAAAGTGTGTTGATATCACCCAAATTCTATTGTAACGGTTGCAACCGTTACTATATCTTCTCTATGGCAATGGTTCACAAACCGTTGCCAAAATAACTGTTCTCATAGGCCCATTTTCTGGTAGTGTTTTAATATTGATAATCCAGAAAAAGAAGGAATGAATGATGCATTTTTCAGAAATAGTAAAACTAACGAATTAAATTATGGCGAGATGCATTCATTCTGAAAGATTGTACTGATTTCTGAATATAGAAATGCAAGACTTCAGAAAGCTGGCAATCAGCAACCACTATATAGAAATGAAGTCTATAGTTCCGTATAAAATATAACATGTTGCTATATGAGGCTCTTTCAAGAACATCTAATATGTAACCAATACCACCCACAAGAAAATGGTAAAATATAAAATAAAATTTGATATAGTGACTACAGGATATTCTGTTATATGGGTATATAGGTGTTATTTTAGTGGATTCTATAAAGAAAGACCTTTGTAGTCATCCTACTCTATAAATAACAAAGATTGAGTCTTCATTAAACACCCATCTTGAAAGAAAACAATCCTCCTTCTTTAGCTGATAGTTCCTCACAAATTATATACCTTTCTTAATGGCTGCTCAAAACCAAGTACAAATTACCATCCCTAAACAACATGATGACCAAAACCAAGCCCCTGAAGAGGATTTTGACTACTCTCAAAGAGCACAATGGCTTCGAGCAGCTATATTAGGAGCCAATGATGGATTAGTATCAGTTGCATCTTTGATGATGGGTGTTGGAGCTGTTCAAGAAAACGTTAAGACCATGATCCTTACTGGTTTTGCAGGGTTGTTTGCCGGTGCATGTAGCATGGCTATAGGAGAGTTTGTCTCTGTGTACTCTCAACTAGACATAGAGTTAGCTCAAATGAAGAGAGACAAAACAACAGGAGGACAGAACAAAGAACATCAACAGCACGAAGTAGAAGAAAGTAACAAGGAACAGCTGCCAAATCCATTTCAGGCAGCCGGAGCCTCGAGTATTGCATTTTCATTGGGTGCTATTGTGCCAATTCTTGCAGCTGCATTTATAGCAGATCATAAGGTGAGGCTAGCTGTGATTGTGGCTGCAGTGAGCTTAGCATTGTTAGCATTTGGAGGAGTTGGTGCTTTTCTGGGCAGAAGTCCTATGGTCAAATCTTGTGCCAGAGTTTTAATTGGTGGTTGGATGGCCATGGCCATTACCTTTAGCCTCACTAGATTGATTGGCTCTATGGGCTTGGAAATGTGATGGGGACTCTATGTTCTGTTCCCTGTCCTAGCTAATTTAGTTTTATCTGCTCAAGAAATTGATGTTGCACGTCAAATAAATTTCCTTTTGTGTAATGACTGGAGTGAAATCTTAAGAATGTATTGAAGGTCAATTTATTATGTTATTACTGAAAGCATTAGCTACTCCACACAACCTTCAGCTTATTCATGATAGACTAGGCATCAACTGTCATAATCTAATATTTCAATGAACTAAATCAATTATATGAATCTTCTGTAACTGCTTAACTTGTCTATGTTTACTTTAGCAATTATAATCAGCCTTCTGCAACTGATCTTCTGTAACTGCTTCTACCAGTACCCAAAGTTCCAACAAATTCGTTAATAAGAAGATTCATCTTGACCTGATAATGCTTACGCTAGCTATCCACCTACCGCAACACATAAAGCAACTCTGAGCAAAAATTAATAAGATCGCATTAAAGCTAAAACCTCGATATTTCAGCTATCCACATAAATCAACTTTGAGCCACACTACAAGAAAGACCTCATTTTGTGGGGGTTAATTTAAAGATTTGTTACAATTTGTGACCTCCGCAAAATGAATTGTGGTGGTTTTAATAAATGTCACAGGTACCTTCGCCACAAGCATTTTCGTAGGAGTTTTTAAGAACCTCCACAACAATTGCCACAAAATCAATTTATAATTTGTGGGGGTTTTTAGAGGCAATCAGTGACGGTTTGTAACCTTCCAAATATGATCTCAATGTTTTAAATTAATATTATGTGAGAGTTATAAACCCCCCACAATTTCTATCTCAATCTTTAAAAAAAATTAAATACTGGCAGCTTATAACTGCCAGAATATTTTTTTCTATTGAAAATTTTAATTCTAGGATTCAATAAATACAACGTAAATCAAATTCCATTAAAAGTATCTAAACAAACCAACATCACAAATTCAAGTTCATATCAAACTAAAGTTATGCAACACAGTATGATAACTTAAACATTTTACAATCTAGAGTAGGTCAACAGTAGATAATATACAAAGTGCCTTGTATTTGCTTGGTGATCTATATTGTTGTCACCTCATGATACTCTTATGCCCATGAGTGAAGCAAACTCACTCTACATATCACTATGCTGGAACTGTGAAATAAACCAACAATTAATTTATCAAACCAAACCAAAGTCAAAATCTTTTGGAGCTAACTACAAACAAAAGAAGCAACAAAAAGATTTTGTATAATATCAGTGCACGTAACCAGTAATAGCAGATCATTTTTAACAGATTACCAATTAATACTTTATATTTACTTGTAGTTACCTTATAAGTACCCGATTGTATACATATTTTAATGCCGTCGATGCATAGAGCTCAATCATAAGTAATTTGTTCAAAAGCACTACAGTCCTAATTCCGAATATCGCAATGGCTTGAAGTCTGCAGCCTTCTTATGCCCCATAATCCAAAGTAGACTATAAATACTAATTGTTGTTTATACCTGTGATGAAAAATCATATTATGGTTATTTAAGGACTTAAAGCACAATGCTAAAGACTTCTCTTGTATGCAACGAGTTCTACACAACCTTCAAGCGTATAAAATTTCGAACTCTTCTATTTTTACATTTCCAAAGGACCTCCACAGATCTCAATCTTGAGAGATAGTCTAAAAATCCATGAGACCTAGGACACAGTGGCGAAACCAGAAAATTTAATAAGGGTGTTCAAAGTTTCAACACTCTTTGCTAGTGGTCTATGCAAGGGTGTTCAAAGTCTATTGTTGCCCCTTCTAGGACAAATATCTGTTTGATTGTCAAAGAATTAGTGCTGGCACATTATGAAGATGGGATTCGTTAGTGGATTTAAACTTTTATTTATGTCTAAAGACAGTAACTTCCACTTCATTCTGGATCAGAAAAGACAAAAGAAAATATTGAAGAGCTTGTGGCCTTTGTAGGAATGGCACACTTCTTGGTATACTCAAATATTTTGCTTTAACCTCTAGTACAGAAAGCACACAGCACCCAAAATTAAATAATGCAAACAAATATTTCCATATCTATGTTCAAGCAAGTGCTTTCCTATACAGCAATGCATCCTCATTTGCTCCCTTTATTTTGTAAAGGTAAAAAAATCTATCTTGAGGCTTCTAGCTCCTAAAAATTAAGTCACCTAAAGTAAACCCACACACACACGCAAAGAAAAAACAGTACTTGATTAATCCTTGTGACATCTTTCAATCTGTTATATGAGGTAGGTGTTATGGATATATTTGGTCTAAAGGAAGTAACTTTATTAAAACTATAGATTTAAAAAATGATGAGCTTGTGGCCTTTATGTGAATGGCACACTCTCTGGAATACTATAATCTTTGCCTTCTCAGCCTTACAGTGGACAGCACACTCTGCCCAATTTTAATATACCAAAGAAAGCATGTCCTATATCTCTATTCATGCATGCAAGTGCTTTCTCTATGCAGCATTCCATGTTCACAGGCTACATTCCAGGAATTGTTTCTGGAAATGAGGTTTGACCAGAAAGATGGTGAATCAATGGCAAATATGAAACTGCAGATCCATTTTGCAAAGTTAGAAGTTGTTAATAAACAAATGCAAGGTTTTAGTAAGCGTGCAATCAGCAAAAAGAGATAAAATCCATGACTGCATGCCACCAGGCCTTGTGCTCACCACACTACTATTATTTTATGGCACCACTTTCTGCTCAGGGTGATTATTTATTAGACATCCTGCTCTATATATAACCATCAGAGGGAACATTGAATCTTCATAGACAAGAAGCCCTAGACAAGAAGTCATCCTTTCTCAAACAATTCCTTAAAGATTTCTTAATGGCTGCTCAAAACGATGTCCAACTTACTGTCATTAAAGAACATGATAACCAGAACCAAAACGAAGTACCTGAAGAAGATTTTGACTACTCCCAAAGGGCACAATGGCTTAGAGCTGGTATATTAGGAGCCAATGATGGATTGGTTACAACTGCATCTTTGATGATGGGTGTTGGAGCTGTCCAAAAAGACGTTAACGCCATGATCCTAGTCGGCTTTGCAGCATTGTTTGCTGGTGCATGTAGCATGGCCATAGGAGAGTTTGTTTCTGTGTACTCTCAACTGGACATAGAGCTAGCTCAAATTAAGAGAGAAAACACAATAAGAGGACAGAATCAGGAAGATCAAGGAGAAGAAGACAAGAAGGAAGGACTCCCAAATCCATTTCTGGCAGCCATAGCTTCAGCTGTTGCATTTTCATTGGGTGGCATAATACCGATTCTTGCTGCTGGATTTATATCTAACCATAAGGTCAGAATGGCTGTGGTGGTGGCTGCAGTGAGCTTGGCATTGTTTGTATTTGGAGGGGTTGGTGCTGTTCTTGGCAGAACTCCTGCAGTTAGGTCTTGTGCCAGAGTTTTAATTGGTGGTTGGATGGCTATGGCCATTACCTTTGGGCTTACCAAACTGATCGGCTCTGCTGGCATGGAGATGTGATTGAAACTTTATGTTCCTGTCTCTTTTCCTAGTTTAGAGTCATCTGTTTAAGAAATTTCTGTACTGTTGGACTAAATCTCCTGGATAAGACTTGAATAAATGCAAGAAATCTTTGTCTTATGGTTCTGGTATGAATGCTGAAGAATGAAATTGACGCGTTTTCTGAATTTTGTATACTCAGTCATATGTAGGACCTGAAAGACTAGCCATAACAGAAAACCTTGCTCCTTTAATATACTTGGCATCATAAAATTTTATTGAATTTTTTTTGTAGCAGAGTTGCAGTTAAAGGTTACATTACATACTAGAGAAGAATTTTATCTAAAGAAACCACAAACTAGTTCCTCAATGGAACCACAAGCACCTGTGACTAAGCAATGACACAGATCAACAAATCAAAGTAAAATTGGCAAACATAACACCTAAAAAAGCATATGGATGATCACCGGACTCACGACTGTCAGGGAAAAGGATATGAAGCTATTGACAGATAATGGAGTTTGCTGTACAAAAGGAGATGCAAAACAACAGCTACCAGTAATCCGTTCATTGATATTTCCCATATCTTTATCCAAGCAAACTGCACCCAAAATTTATCTAATACTAAGTATATTTCCTGTATATCTGTTCAAGCAAGGGCTTCCCTATACTTCTGTATCCTCACAAGCGCATTTCTTCAAAGATCATAAAGCCATCTGAACACTTCAAGCTTCCAAAATTACGTCATTTTGGAGTCCACCAAAAAAAAGGAGAGGAAGAAAAAAGAGCAGTACCAGTAATCCATACAACATCTATCAGTTTTGAAAGCATTGTGAAAGACAAAGTTATATAAGACATTTGCAAGACAGTTCTCGTTCTTAGTTCAAAACATAACGTTAGTAATGTGACCGTGATAGTACAAGGAAATAAACTGATAAACCTGCCAGTGATACCAAATTAGCATGAAATATATGCCTAGGGAGCTAGAATTAACATTTGCTTTATATATTTCTCTTTTGCTCCCACTTTGCAGGACTGCACTCATTTTAGCGATATTGTTCGAAGAAGCAACTATTTACAATTAAGGGATTGAAACTACAGAAAATGGAAGAATGAATAATGCAACTTTAACGAAGAAATTAAAATATGGTGCGACTATTGCAGACATGGTATTTTCTGCACTAGGCATGGTTTTTGCAGTTACACTGAAGTCTTCTGCAGGGCTGCAGACAGGAGACTGGCCAGCCATGGCTATTACCTTTGAGCTTTTGCATTATCATGCTTATTGGTTTTGTGGAGTAACTCATGAAATCAACTTTACATTCATTTTGGAAAATTTTACTAATTTTTCAATATATAAATGCAAGAATTTAGAAAGCAAGCAAAGCTATCTGTATTATACTCCGTATCATAACATAAAAGAAAGATGGCATATGATGCTCTTACAAGAACGTGTAATTTGAGTAATCAATACAACCAAGAAAAAAGAAAAAAGGGTAAAACATAAAAAAGAAAAAAAGAAAATTGATAGACTGAATGTAGGGTATCTCTTAGTTGAGTTAGGTGTTATCTTGTAGTGGATATATTTGGTCTAAAGGAGGTAACTTTATTAGATCTCTGGATTTAAAAAATGAAGAGCTTGTGGCCTTTATGTGAATGGCACACTCCCTGGAATACTATAATCTTTGCCTTCTCAGCCTTAGTGTGGAGAGCACACTCCACTCTATTTTATATACTCCACCAAATTAAAAAATTGTGTCTCTATTCATGCAAAGTGCTTTCCTATACGGCATTCCATGTCCACAAGTTCCTCTTTTCAGAAATCACGAAGTCATTTCATAATCAGCAATGGAAAATTAAAACAGTACTTCGAAGGGTGTCTAGCTCTCAATCTCAGGTTTTGACTCTTAAAAGAGAACCATCAAGTTGAAATACTACAAGATAAAAAGTATTTGTTACCAATTATACTGGGAATTGTCACAATAAATAAGGTTTTAACTGGAAAATGCGGAACCAGTATGAAACTGCAGATTCATTTTGCAAAGTTGGAGATGTGTTAATAAACAAATGAAAGGTTTTCCCAAGCATGCAATCAGCAAACAAAAGTAACAACCAAACCTGCCACCTTGCCTTGTGCTCAGTGCTCACCACACTACTATTTTTTTATGGCACCACTTTCTGCTTAGACTGATTAATATTTAGTCATCCTCTCCTATATATAACCACCAGAGGGAAGATTGAGTCATCAAAAACAAGAAGTCCTTCAATTTCTCAAAACAACTCCTTAGAAAATTTTCTTCATGGCTGCTCAAAACCACGTGCAAATTACCATCCTTAAAGAACATGACAACCAAAACCAAAACCAAGTCCCTGAAGAGGACTTTGACTACTCCCAAAGGGCTCAGTGGCTTCGAGCAGCTGTGTTAGGAGCCAATGACGGCTTGGTTTCAACTGCATCTTTGATGATCACTACTAGAAATCCGGTAAAAAGCGACCACAAAAAAAGCGACCAAAGTTGGTCGCTTATAGGCCCAAAAGCGACCAAACATGCCTGCTCGCTATATTGATGGTCTCTTTTATTTAGGGACCAAACTTGGTCGCTAATTAGCGACCAACATTGGTCTCTAAGCTAAATGGACCAAATATTCCGGATATTGACTATAGAGACCAACTTTGGTCGCTTTATTAATTTAATAATATAAATTTGGCGACCAAAGTTGGTCTCTAAATATAAAATACTTTATTTATTTATTTATTATTAATCATTAAGAAGCGACCAACTTTGGTCTCTAACCCAAATATTATATTTTAAAATCTGGAAACTAGAGACCAAGGTTGGTCGCTTTTTTATTTAATAATTTATATATTTTATTAAACTAGCGACCAACTTTGGTCCCTAAATACATGAATTTAATTTATTTTTTGTACTTTAGCGACCAACGTTGGTCGCTATATCACCAGAAATTTTATTTTTTTAACGAAATAGCGACCAAGTTTGGTCGCTTTTTGTAGAAATCTGGGTAAGTAGCGACCAACGTTGGTCGCTATTCTCCAGAAATTTATTTTTTTTGAACGTGAAAAGCGACCAAATAGAGACCAATGTTGGTCGCTTTTCTGTGTATTATTTTGGCAGAAACTGCCTGTTTTGGCAGCTATACCACCTGCCAGTCATACCAAAACCCTAACAAGCAACAACAACAACAATTCAAACAACAATTCCAATAAGAATACCAAACAATAACCCAACAACAACAACAACAACAACACAAAAACAACATTAAAAGCTACATTAAAACCAAGAAAGTGTAAATTTCAATAGAACTACCAAACTAAGTTAACTCTTATTACAACCCAATGGAAAACAAATTGTATTTGTCTAGTTCAAATTGTCTAAAATTCATTGATTGTTTGGTACATCATTATCATCACCCTCTGATGAAGTTTCATCATCATCACGGTATTGAGAAGGGTCTATTTGTCGATGATGGGAAGAATGATCACGGGGAGGACGGGAGGAACGACCACTTGGAGGACGGGACGAACGAGCACGGGGACGGGCAGCCTCTGGCAATGATGGCCGAGACCGGGGAATCGAAAAAGATCCAGCTAGGAGATTTTTGATCTGCTCTTGCATGCCCTGGCACTGAGCGACCACGCCAATGTACTGAGCATCTCTAAGCTTTTCTCTTTCCTTGGACGCTTCTAGCTCGGATGTGAGCTTTGTCACAGTCTCCTGCATAGCGGAGAGGCTCTCCCCATCAAGTTGCTCGGCTTGCGAGGAAGTCTCTATTCCTTGCATTCCACACCTATAGCGATGGAATGTCTTAGTAGGAAGGCCGTATACCTTCCCCCATTTTGGACCGCCTGTAGCCCGCGTCCATAGTCTTTCAACATCCTCGGCCGAAAGTTTGAATGGCGCGCCCGACTCATTAGGTGGCTGGCTGCGTATGAATTCCTCAGCTTCAACTCTGAAGCGATCCTATAAGAAAAAGTAAATTGAATTAGTATTTCAAAATTTATATAAAAGTAAATGAAAATACTTAATGAAAAGTGAAAACTTACATGTACAGTCGAGGCTCGTCCCTCGACCCACCTTTCTTCATCCGTCTCTTTCTTCTTCTTCACAATATGAGTCTCCTTGAATAGCTCATCTTGGTTCATCTGACGACCCAACTTCTTTTCCTGAAAACTCATAAATTTTAATTAATAAATAGAATAGATATACTTTGAAAATTAAAATAAATTAAGCAATTACGTACCATTCTTCTTTTTATTGTCCCCAGGCTGACCGCACCTCCAGTGTGCAAGGATCCTCCCTTCTCAGATGCGCGAGCTTTCTTTCCCTTTTCGCTCTTCTGTAATAACTCTGCAGTAAGCCATTGCCTTTGCAAATCATCCCAAAACTCTTGAAGCAACCAGCCAGGCTTCTGGTTCAGCTGTCTAGCTATGGAGAAAGAATGCGACAACCGCTTGCGAGCTTTGAGATTAAAATTTGCAGCCACGTCCGCGCTATACTGGTGTTCCCATACACACTTGCTCTGTATTTCAAAAGTTAAATATTATATGAAAATATCATAAATATAAATAATTATACTGCTTAAAAGAACATTTATACCTTAAATTCATTGAAAATTGCCTCCTTCAGTGAGAATGGGAATTCACGCCAAGACGCATAAGGGGCATCATAAAGCTTTCTGGTTGCTTTGGTGATTATCCTCTAACTGTTCATAAAAACGTTTTGCTTCATCATTAGGAGTTTGTTCAACATTTTCGTTGGGCTCACCCCCAAAGTGCATTCCAAAAGCATTCGCAACCATATCATGAATTCTGGAATCACTATTTCTATTCTCCCTCGACCTACTACTTTCACCAAGAACCATGTTATGAAATATCCCATCGCTACCATCCATCTCTCCATGATAAGTCCACACAAAGTAATTCGCTATAAACCACTTCATATAAAGATGAACCTTAACTTCCTCCGGTTTTTCAAACTTCATACAGTCGCACTTAACACAAGGGCACCTAATTACTCCTTCTTTTATGTATGGCGGAAGTGACATTGCATGTCTAATAAAGTCCTCAACCCCTTCTACAAAATCCTCCCGCAATCCCCGCCGACTAAGATAATTCCTATTGTACATCCAAGAACGATGTTCCATCTATTTAAATAAAGCAAGAACAAATTAAATTAGTTAATACATTAATAAACTCCTCCCTTTAAATCTTTTTTCTTATCTTATAAATGTATAATTCATAGTTTAAAGCATGAATTTAGGTACTCTTATTTAGGTATTGCTCCTCTTCTAAGACAATGAATTGTATCTTTTCACAATTGAACTCAATATAAGT